CACAGTGACTTTTATCAGGAGCAATCTCAGCACAGAACAGCTCCAAGAAAAATATTTTAAAATACAAGTTTTTGTAAAATTAACAGCCAGAAATCATTAACGAATCAACGCCTCAAGCAGCGAATCCGATTTCCATAAACCTCGCTATTACTGCCCATAAGTAAATGAATAAACTGATAAATTCTCATATCAAAGTGTTTATTCCTGCTTCCTCTCTCTCGCAGTTCCGTTGCAAAACCGACAAGTGCATCCCGTTCTGGTGGAAATGCGACACCGTGGATGACTGCGGGGACGGCTCCGACGAGCCCGCTGAGTGCCGTGAGTGCTCATCCAGTTGGGGTTTGGTGTTATCTGTAGGGTCCACAGCAAAAGTAACCCTTCATAAATTTTAGAAAGAGCGTTATTTTGGACTCTTTTGTTTGCAGCTATTTAATGTTCCTTGGTCTCTGTCAGATTTACAAAGGGTACAGGTTGTTTTGGTTTTTGTGGGTTTTTGGGGGATTTTTTTGGTCATCTTGTAAAAGATTTTCATTATCTCCTGTCTACCAGTCTTTCAAGGTCTTTTGAAAATCATACATGATTTTCATCTTTTAGACCTTTACTTCATCCTAGTTATGTTTCTGATAAAGATTTGAATTTGAAAGCTGTTTGTGGAATTCTTTGCATAAATACAGAATTTTGCCAGGTTTATGTGGTTTATTTTTCTAGGTAATAAAAATGTGGGATTCTCATTTCATTTGCTTGTTTTTCATTGCAGCTATAGAAGTTTAGACACACATTATTATTTATTGCAGTTTTCTGAGCAACAACAATATTGTCCTGTCATTCTTGCCTTCTTTCCTTAAGCTCATGTTAAAAAAAAAAAAAAGTTCTACTGTGTGTTCTACAACCTTCCAGTTAATTAACAGTTAGTTTTACTTTTTGTGTTGACATCTCTCACCCCTGTTTTTAGAATTTTATTAATTAGGATTTTTTTTTTCTGCAGAGGCTTTTGAAATTTTAATATTTGTAATCATTCTACATGAGATTCTACGCTACTCTGTTCATAAATAATAATTATATAGATATAAATAATTGCCTGTTGATTCTAATGAATCAACTGCAGAAGGAACAATGGCTTCAGAAGGAACAATGTTAGGCGTTTCTTGGGAAATAAAATTACAGTGGGACAGGGAGTTTCTTAAAAGCAGGGTTGAGTTCAAGTTTTTAGATCTTAAATTGCAAATCTCTGTTGAGCCTTTTCTAAGCTTCAACCTGCAGGGTGCTTCACTCTGTGTCATTAGAGTTGCACAAATTAAAGATATCAGACTTTGAAATCAGTTGTGTGTGTACATTTTACTTGTTAAAATATACCCAGGTGGAGATTATAGAGGCAAATACGAAAGTTTATAGGTATTTTTGATTAGTCCATAAGGTAAGAACAGCAGTGTTGAGACTTTAACCATTCCTCTGGTTGTATTCATAAGCAGTTTTGTCTTTTCTCAGCTGAATTCAGATGTCAGCCAGGACGTTTCCAGTGTGGAACTGGGCTTTGTGCTCTTCCAGCTTTTATCTGTGATGGAGAGAACGACTGTGGGGACAATTCTGATGAACTGAACTGTGGTAGGTGATTGTACACGCTGCAGCTTCAGAAATAGCCCAAACTGGTATAAATGCCATGTTTCACACTGTCAACAAATTTAAATTTTCTTCATTTACCTTTCAAGTTTTGAATATTTTCATTTTTAACTTTACATCTTTTTAATCTTTTTATTCTCTTTGAATTTGCAGACACACACGTGTGTCTGTCAGGGCAGTTCAAGTGCACGAAGAACCAGAAGTGCATCCCCATAAACCTGAGATGCAATGGCCAGGATGACTGTGGGGATGAAGAAGATGAAAGAGACTGTCGTAAGTTATGCTTAGAAAATTCTAATTCTAATTAGAGAATTAGCAGAATTGTGCTCTCTGGCTCCTTTTAAAGAAATGTCTGCAAATGTCTATATCTAAAATAATTTGAGAACATGCAAAACAGTTAATTCATGGGATTGGTGTGCAATGCTTCACATACAAGAGAACAAACTAAAATGTCATTTATTAAATTTACTTTTTAAAGTCATTGGGAAGAAGAGAGGGGTATAAACAATTTCAAGCATTTAATTGGGTTTTTGACTGAGGTTGAAACACGTTTTTGACTCTTAACCACCTCACAAATGACTCATCTTCTCGAGGCTTTCATCTGCCATGCCTTGCAGCAATGCATTTCAATGGAAAAAGATGTTTTTCAGAATCTTTTGTTGGAAAAGCTACAGATCCAAAGCTCCTTCTACATCCTTTCTCTTTCATTGATTTTTTTTTTTTTTACCTTCTCTGTTCCCCTTTCTCTGGGGACTTCATTAATTTACCTATGTAACTGGATTTCCATTTGCTCAGTTTTTAATACAACTTGCTTTTCCTAAATTCATTTTGCCTCTATATTTCTTAGATATAAGAGGAGAAAATATTTTCCGATTTGTCGTGGAACTTTATTGAATAAGTTTGTGTCTTTGATCATTTTGTAACAAAGGTGAATGGACTGCAGCTCTGTCTTTGACTCATTTTGTTGCTCAGATCTGCTGCTGATATAACCTGTTCTGAATTAGCTTCTCAAGGTTTTCATGGGCTGCATTTCTGCAGAGAACAAATTTTTCTCTAATGAGAGGAGGACTGCTTACCTTATAAAGGCTTTGTTGATGGTCATGTTTGATGGCTGTCGTCCAAACAGGAGAGATTTAAATATGGGTTTTGCAGAAAATATTGTGTGTTGGTTTGCATTGTGTGTTGGGTTTCTTTAAAAACTGATTAAGAGGGACCAGCTAAACTCCATGAAGAATAGGAGAGATTTTTTTTTTTTTTTTCCCCTTGGAAAGAACTGGCACATGGAAAATTCCCAAAACCTTGAGGTGTAGCAGGCAGAAGTTAAATCCGAGCAGCAGAGTCAGAACAGCAGAGCTCAGGGTCTGTGGGGTGGGCAGGGTCAGGATCAGCAGTGAGGGAGGGGGAAATGTCCTGGGATTTATGAGGGCAGGACAGTCTCCTTGGGACACAGAGAGAGCTTTGAACTCAGAGTCTGAAACTCAGCCACCAACCCACCTGCAAAGGGACAGTGGGAAGTGGGGGAGGTTCATCAATTTACATTTATTATTATTATTATTATCATTATAATTTTTACATTTATTATTTTTGGTGTGTCCGACCTAGATTTTATTAGCTTCTCTCTTAAGATAGGCATGTATTTTTATTTTAATCAAACCTTGCTTGTGGCTTCTGGGAATTCTCCAGTTGCTTTGAAGATATTTGGGGGAAAAAAAGGAGGTTTTAATAAATTTACCACAAATTTCATGTTGACATGGGCACCTGCTATAAGACACTCTTGTTTCCTTAACGATAACCTCTGTTTCCTTAAAGATGTTACATAACTGATGCTAGAGATACCAAATTTCTGAATTTTGTGTCCTTTAAAACACATATATTAAATATTAGTGGAAATTTTCTAATTTTGATCTGGAATTCTTCTATTTGAAGCTGAAAACAGTTGTTCTCCAGACCACTTCCAGTGTAAAACAACCAAACACTGCATTTCCAAACTGTGGGTGTGTGATGAAGACCCAGATTGTGCTGACGGATCAGATGAAGCCAACTGTGGTGAGTTTGCCAGTGGTTCTGAATCTATTAACTGCAGCTTGACTTTTTTTTAGCAAAGGAAAATAATCATCCCATTTTTTCTGTCCCCTTTCAGTGTTTGATTATACCAATCTGGAACCTACCTGGCTCATCCAGTTCTTACTGAATGGCAATCTTTGTATGAGTGGTTCATAAAATTCATATTTTACCACGGTTTTATTGGCAGGAGCTGCAGATGAGTCTCTCATTTGGCATTTTGAATCATAGAAGTGACACAGAATGTAGTGACTGTCACAGGGTACAGTGACATTCTTTATTTTTCTCACAGTGTTATCCAGTTTCTGTCAATTCAGCCTGCACTTTATTGCTGCTGAACTTCATAAATAGTGAAAATATAATAATTTGCAAATCCTGGTAGTTAAGATTGGCTGTGTAGGAGGGTCAAGAGCAAATTGGAACTTGTCATGGGCAACTTCTGCTTTTCTCTGTGAGCTCCAGGGTCAGCTGTTATTGTTGTTATTGGAGAAAAATAATAAATACAAATATTCTACCTGGGAAATGGATTACAGGCAATCAGAGGCAGAATAAGTGGGATCAGTATTGCTGGAAAATCCCTGAAAATGGATGTCAGTGCAAGACACCCACTAACCATGGCCAGAAACACTCGTGAGACTTTCAAGACGGGTCTATAAAGGAAAATATAGAAAAATGTTCTGAGCTGGAGGAGAACAAGACAAATGTGGAAGATTTAAAACTCTCACCGTTATTCATCCACGCATCAGTGAATGGTTTGATGAAACACCTGTGTCTGGACAGGTTTATCTCTGGGACAGCAGACAATCAAAACCACGGGCTGGAGTCAAGGACAAAGCACTGAGCTGCTTTTCCATGGATGTTTCAAGTAATGGACACATGAGGGTTTGTAAAGGTGCTGAAGGTGGCAGGTGTGCCTGGGAAAATGGACTCTTTCTCACCACTGAAAATCCAAGACCATCATTGGAATTGCCAAAATTGAGTCAATAATTAATCCTGTCAACTGGGGGATGTTTACAATCCAACGAATCATTTGTTTTGAAGAAACGATGAACAGAAAGGAGATGAAACTTTACCACAGAGGCTCCATACCCCCTTCTGGGTTGTTCCTGAAACATCCTGCACTGCTCACTCCCTGATTGACTTCACGGGTGCTTTCTCCTACACTGTTCCACGTGACCTGGATCTCCAATGTGTTTTTGATTTCCAGCTGGGGCAGCATTCCAAGCTTCTTAACTGTGGATTCACATTTTGATGAACCCAACTGATAAGGCAAAAATGGTCTTAAAATAATTCATCCATTAATATCTTCAAGTAATTTTTTTTTTTTTTTAAGAAAAAGGGAAAAAAACCCAAAAGCTGACACTGAATAGGAAAAATTGTGTTTGTAGTGAGAACTTCACTCTGAACTATCATCTTACAGTAGAAAGAATAAAAATTATACAAAAAACTAAAAAGTATAGAGGAGCAATGTGTGTAATCCCATGCTGAACAGGTTTTTTAAATCAGTGTACAACTGGAGGTGTTGGTTCATATCTGAGACTCATCTTCACTTTTATCCTGTTGCTGGCAGTGGAAGTCAGTATCCAGGGAGGAACATGTGAGCAGCGCATACATTTACTGAAACTTCCCTGGGATACCCTTACAACCTGACAATCAGAAATATTGTGAGTCAAGTATGTGACTCTTAATACAATAATTCATCATAGATTTCATTCTCATTTTACCTTTGTAAAGTTTTCAGAACATTCTGCAGTGAGATGTTCCATAGTTTAATCTCATACATCCCTGAAAAAACACATTTTTATTGTTAATCTCCTGGCTGCATACACTGCTCTCGGTTTTCATGTTGGACGAGACAGAGTAATTTATCCATAGTCACAATTTCTGTGCCAAATACGGTTTTTGAGTACACATGGAACAGCTAAACCTTGACAAGAACAGGGTGCATTTAATCACATTTTGAAGTTTTCCGTATATTTAGTATTTGAAATATGTTTCAATGACCTTACCATGGCAGTAGTTTCAACAGAGTTTGGTCTTCTGCATTTTTTTTTCCAATTTAAAGATTGTTATTTCTATGGACAAAGTTTGATAGAATCAAATTCTAAAGCTGGAAGCTGAGTATGAAAAAGATGTGCATATGTTGATGTAATACTAATTTGATATTGTTTGGAGTTCATTTCTGAAGTGCCTGCAATGCAAAACTTGTGTAAAGGGTAATCTGTTTTTGCTTGAGTGCTGCACAGCCATATGTATTTTGCTTAGTCAACATCTGCTGCTGTGTGTTTTTGGAGATATTACACTGAGTAAATTTCCTAGAAATAGTGTAAATGTGTATTTAGTCTTCTGTGGTTGCTTTCCAGCACAGACAGTTGAAGTAGAATCAGGAAATGTGTTTTTATTAAGGAGTGTGTGGTGTTGCTCGGGAAAAAGTAGGTACAGTTAATTCATGCTGTCTGAGAAATTAAAGAAAGCCATTAGATTAATCTAATCCTTGCTTTCAATTTCAGTACTTTACATCAAAATGGACCATTTTGAGTTAGAATCTGAAGAAAGCTGTGTGTGGTTTTGGAAAGTGATTGTAATGTGCTTTAAAGGTTGTGTTTATTGCAGGTCTTGATTATCTTAATGTGTCAACATTGGCATGACTGCTTTCTGCTTCCTCACTTTTTTTTAATATTAATTTGATTGTTAGCTGTGAGAGTCCTAAAGTAGGCTTTTTTTTCCTGTTGATAAAAGAGTATGTTCTTCAAGGCATTTGAAGGATACATTATAAAAACTTCCTTCAACAGGTTTATAATTTCCTGTGTCCAGCATTGGTGACAGCCTGCCGGGCTCTGGGACCCCAGCTGATCCTGGATCAAAAGCAAATTCCTTTACTTTTTTGGATTTTGTCTCTCTCAGACTCACACACGCACACATGCATAGACATGAAAATATATGGAATTAAAATCCTCAAACAGCAATGTCATACAATTAGTGGCAAAATAGTGTTATCATTCACAGGGGTTGATATTTGAATTAAAGTGCTTTTGGGGTGCGTACAGGGTTTTTTGCTTTGTTTTGTTTTTGTTTCCCCATTTAAGGTTTCCGTGTTTTTTCCATGTTCCAGTATTGCAATGACCAGATTTTTGAGTGCACACAACTGAGCTGCACCACCATTTACCTTCACCTTCTTGATACTGAAATGCAGTTCTGTTTTCTCAATCTAGTGCTGGAACTACAACTGAAACAATTGAGAAAAAGCAGCATTTTGGATGGTAGCACCAAAACTAACACCCCTAATTTGTGGTTTAGCAGAAGAGGAAGCAGTTTGATTGAAGATGCTGCTTCTGTCACTCATTAGCAGCCCCAGAGTGGCCCTGAAAGCAGAGTAAAGCTGCTCTGACATGTTATGACATCGCCTAAAGGAAATTTAAAAAATTCCTAGTGAAATATCACAGTGACATGTAATTTTAAATGTCATTGAGGCTTTTACAAAGCAAACTTTTTTTCTTTTTTCCCCCTCTAACAAAAATGTCACTGATAACTTTTTAATTTACTTCATTTCATCTCAGTCCTTAGGAGCAGAACGAATTATTCAGGAATTGCTCACAGAAAACACAGAGGGAGATCCTTTTCTGCTGGAGGAGTTCAGGGTGTTCTCTATCTCTAAGAGCCTCTGCTTTCAATGCTCCTCTGTAAATAGAAAAGCTCATTGAAAATATTCAACATGAAGGAAATTTCCCTCAGTTTAGCATTACAGGCTTTATAATGTTTTACCTTTATATAAGTAGCTTCCAATCCAATCCATCAGTAGGTAAAAACTGAAATCAAAGTGCAAAGTTTTCTATCTTAAATTATTATATTCAAAAATAAGTCTTGGGAAATACATATTCTCAAATGAAATGCATTTTTCAAATTAATATTCTTATGGTTTACTGTGATCTAATCTTTTGTAAAGCAATCTTACAGATAAATTCAAGGAAAAGTTAATACAGTTTTTGAGAGTCAGTGTACTAATACCCTCTCATTGAACAACCTTGTGACTCCTTCTGAATTTCATATTTTTAACATTATATGGCAGTTTATACAGTACATATTTTAATTTCACCAAGTTTAAGATTAAGGTATGAATGTATAATAGAAGCTTAAAGATCGTTACGAGAAATAAATTATTCCTGAAAGTAACATTTCAAACATTATGGTTGCTCCTTCTTAACATTATCCAGCAACACTACCACATGTTTAGTGGAAGTCTTTCCCATTTTAACCGTTTGCTTGCAATGCTGTAAACATTATTCATCTTAATTACAGATAAAAAAACTTGTGGGCCTCATGAGTTCCAGTGCAAAAACAACAACTGCATTCCAGATCACTGGAGATGTGACAGCCAGAATGATTGTGGAGATAATTCTGATGAAGAAAACTGTAGTAAGTAACTTTTACCTTAGCCCATCTTATAATAGAGTCAGTTTAGCAACGTGAAAGAGGAATCTTTTGTATTTTGATAAAACACAGGGGCATCTTTTCATTCAGCATCCTCTGATCTGCTGAACATCAGTTGGCCACAATTGAAAATGTCCCTTTCTGTAATTCTCCAATTCCATTCCCTCTTATAAAGAGTTGTAATTCTGTATCAGCTATGAAAAAATGCCTAACCTGCAACTACTCGATAATCTGGTGAATTAAAAATAAATATTACAATTAGCTTACCTTTTTCAGTTATTTACATATCACATTTCTTACCTCTGAATAAGAATCATAAACACCATTCAGAGGTAAAGTGAAAAGCATTAGTTAACAAGGAATTCTGATCAAACACTACCTGCTCATTACATTCATTATATTCTTGAGATGATTTGCCTTGTTTCATATTGAGAAGGCAATTTCTATAGTACTTAATTGCATTAAGAAGTAGATGTGGTAATTCAAAGTAGCTCAGTTACCCACTTCTCTCCTACACACGGGGAACCTGAAGGCCTAATAAATCTCTGTAATACCACTTCCAGGGAGTTAATTTCCATCTGGTTCTCAGGAAGAAATGAAAAAAATTGTGATGGTTTTATCTGATAATTATTGTCTTTATAACATATTTCAAGGGGGACGTTCCCTAAATAGTTCTGAAGGGCCTTCTCTTGACAATTTCTGTGGGTTTTTTTTTTTCCTTTTTACTCAGAAATCCAAGAAGTTAATATCTTGTTCTTGCACATAATCTCAAATGCTCATCCCTGATTATATATCATGAATGTGTAATAATGTACGAAGTTTAATAGATTAGGCATTTTAATTCTATGTAAATGCAATCTGCCCTCTTGTCCAGTTCAAGACAAGGTAGAAAATGTCTCATTCTGCTTGGGAGGTTAAAATGGATTTTTTTTACCTTATAATCACTCCCTGCATTTGAAAATGTTGTGAGTTTTACTACTGCAAGCAATAGTGCTGTGGTTTTCATATGCAAGTGTTTCATATCAAAGGGAAAATGTCGTGTGGCTCAGTGATCACTCAGAGCCTTTTGTTGTTACACCCTGGGGGTGGTTGGCTCACAAAACCTTTCTTAGCTTTGTGGGAGATTTTACTTAGGAATTGATCATTAGTGTCAGTTTTCTGTATTATAAGTAGCAAGAAATTATTTTATGTTCCTTTAGTCTCATGTAAAAAATAAACAGTCATAATTTTGTGTAGTGGTGTTAATCTACATGACTGGACAATCTGCTGAAWRTWTGGAAAMAAACCAAATCAAAACAAAAACTTCCACTAAGTATTATTGCTGTTTCCAAAATAAGTGTTGAGCATTATATTTAGAATTTGCCATGTATATCACCTAGCAGTAATAATTTTCCTCTTTAAAGTTCTGATCATTATGCTATAAATTGATACAAAAAAAAAAGAAAAAAAAAATGAGAGTGAAATAATCTTTTTTCTTTTTTTAATGTATGAAGTTTTCCAACTTAGTTATATCAATAACTGAGTTATATATTCAGTCCTTTGTTATTCTCTAGACTTGCAGATAAAGAAATGTGTAATTAATCATAATGGATGGAATTAGTGAGTTGGGAGTATCCAGACACAGAAGGTGAATCAAACTAAAGGGTGCTACTTTGTTGTTTCGTTTTTTTGTTTTTTGTTTTTTGGTTTTTTTTTTAATTTACTTTTGCTTGTTAAATGCGTACATAAATTCTAACTATAGTTTCTACTGTTTAAATTAAATGCAGTAGGCTGGCGCAGTTTTAAAATTCAAAATCTTCAAGCACTGGGACAGTACATAATACTGTTCAGCTGTCTGAAAGAGTTGTATGAAATTTTTATAGACTATCAAGCCACTTATGGAATAAAGTGTAATGAAACAAATATATATGAAATTAGAACTTCAAAACCATTTGACAAAATACGTTACATTGCACAGTGAGATAAATTGTTCATGGCATACATGAATATAATATGCAAGGGGCTGTCAGGCAACTCTATCAGAAAATGAGTTGTTTCTCAAGAATGCAGAATGAATTCACTGAATTATAGACATTCAGCTCCAGCATTTACACTTTTCTATGTAGTTTCTTCACATGCAAGGTGTTCACTGTTCTGATGAATTTATCAGAAGTGAAACAGTAAAAATATTAAAAATATCATATATGGATGTGAAAGTGTAGGATACATTGTTAACTCTTCAGAGGTGACATCTGTTTGAAGGGAGGATTTGCTTTCAGAGTTTATCTGGATTTAAAAAAAAAAAAATAGAGCAAAAGTAGTGTTTTCTCTTTCAGGAAACTCCAAAAAAAAAAAAAAGGAAAATTCCATAGTAATGACTATCTTATTCCTGCTAAAAAGAAGACACCAGTAATTTTGGGTTTTTTTTAATGTGATTAAATAAAATACAATCTACTGTAAACATTGAAGCAAAGCAAACATAATGTTGTAGAAAGACACAAATTCAATCAGTGTAAAAATATTCACGTTGCTAGAAGTTCTTCCTYGTGCTGTTTTGTTGYTTCCMCAACTTGCCAAGAAAACARATTAGKTMATTTTTGTCCYGGGATAAGTTTGKGTCTCAAATKCTTTTCTTGGGAAGGAGTTTCAGTGATTTTATAAAGCAGAAATTAAAGAATGCTGTCTTTCATTGGTTGTATAGAAGTCAATTAATATTTATTCCTTTAATACTGCTTTCTATTAATACTGATCCCATTCACTGACAATCTGAGCACTGATGGAAAAGCACTTTACCATGTTCATATGTAAATCACAGAGATGGATTCCAGCAGCAGCAGAAATATTTCTTGCAAGCAGAGARTTGAGTACTTAGCTCTTTGTGTACATTTTTCCAGAATCAAATCTCTGCTTATAAATAATTTATTAGCAGTATAGCAGATGTATTTGCTTGTATTTTTCAAATCAATATAGAAGYATGACAAATGTCTTTTTGCATGTGAATTACTTTTCCCACAACTTATTTCCTTTATACATGTCATCAAATCATGAAATTCCCCTTCTTGGTCTGTTGACAACAAAAAGAATCAAACATCAGGGATTTATTAAAGCTTTCCCACATTTACCGCATTTACCAAATTCTTCTCAGTTTGAGACCTCTAATWTTGTGTTTCYTTTKCTTYATCACTGTGGTGCATTTYACAAAAGCAYTCATRTTTGCACCTTCTGTGTCCTGCTAAAGGACCYYTCAGCATYCCCAGTTCATTACTSTCCATTCCTACTGTCTGCTCTCTTYTTT